CTGTATGGCTCACAATGTTTAAAGTATGTATTATCTGGCCTGTTAGAAGAAGTTTCCTCACCCCTATAGTTATAATCACTATTTTAATGTCAGTTCTGTTCTCGGTTGGTTTTGATTGGTTGATTTTTCTCATATTTTATTGCTTCTTTCCATGTTTAGTTATCTTTGAGTAGATGGTAGACATTTTAAAGATACTTGATTTTTTTTTTCTTTTTAATAAATTTCTTGAGACTTTTATTGGTATGCAGTTAAATTATTTGGAAATATTTCTGTTCTTTATGGTCATACTTTTAAGCTTTGTTAGATGGATCAGAGCACCGTTTAGGGCTGTCATCCCTAGGGCATATAACTCTACTATTGTGACATGACCCTTCTGAATACCAGGGAATTATAAGGTTTTTCAAGTCTGGCTGGTGGGAGCAGTCACTGTTACTGTCTGTGTGTGAGTTCCAGGGACTGTTCCCTCTAATCCTCTCAGATGGTTCTTTCCTCTGTCTTTGATAGTTTTCTTCTACACATGGGCTGATTAGTACTTGATGGAATACTTGAGAGAAACTCTCCCCAGATCTCTAGTATTTTCTCTCTGTGAAGCTTTCTCCTCTACAGCATTCTGTCCTGTGCACTGTAGATGCCTTAGTCTCTCTAGACACTCAGCTCCATCTTTTCAACTCAGGGCTTCTGCCTGAGTTCCCCTTCCCTGTGCTACATCCTAGAAATGCTCTCAAGGCAGTCAGCTGGGGTAGTTGTAGGGCCTCCCCTCTTTTGTCCTCAGAGATCACTGTCCTTGTTGCCTAATGTCCAATGTCTTGAAAACTGCTATTTAGTCCAGGAATGTCCACCCTTTTGGCTTCCCTGGGCTACACTGGAAGAACAGTTGTCTTGGGCCACATGTAAAATACACTAACACTAATGATAGCTGATGAGCTAAAAAAAAAAAAAAATCACAAAAAGATCTCATAATGTTTTAAGAAAGTTTATGAATTTGTGTTGGGCCACATTCAAAGCTGTCCTGAGTTGCATGTGGCTCGTGGGCCATGGGTTGGACAGCTTGATTTACTCTATTTCATCTGCTTTCTTTCCTGTTTTCTTTTCTTTTCCAGATAGGAGGGTAAATCTAGTCCCCATTACTATACCTTAGTAGAAGTAAAAGTCTTTTTTTTTTTTTTTTTTTTTTTTTGAGATGGAGTCTCGCTCTGTAGCCCAGGCTGGAGTGCAATGGCACGATCTCGGCTCACTGCAACCTCCGCCTCCTGGGTTCAGGCAATTCTCCTGCCCCAGCCTCCTGAGTCACTGGGATTACAGGCACGCGCCACCATGCCCAGCTAATTTTTTGTATTTTTAGTAGAGACGGGGTTTCACCATGTTGACCAGGATGGTCTCAATCTCTTGACCTCGTGATCCACCCGCCTCGGCCTCCCACAGTGCTGGGATTACAGGCTTGAGCCACCACGCCCGGCCGAAGTAAAAGTCTTTTAAGTGGCCGGGCGTGGTGGCTCATGCTTGTAACCCCAGTACTCTGGGAGGCTGAGGCGGGCAGATCACCTGAGGTCGGGAGTTCAAGACCAGCCTAACCAACATGGTGAAACCCCGTCTTTATATATATATATATATGTATATATATATACATGAAGTCTTTTAAGTCTTCTTTAAAAAAAGCTGAATGGATGTTTAATTTTACCAAATGATTTTTCTGTATCTATTGAGAAGATCATATGATTTTTTTTCTTTCTCTTTTTTCCTCCTAATGTGTTGAATTAGTTTGATTTTTTTTTTTTTTGGATGTTAAACCAACCTTAAATTTCTGTAATAAACCCAACTTAGTCACGATCCTTTTTTAATATATTGCCAATTCAATTTACTCATGTATGTTTTAGGATTTTTGCATCTCTATTTTGTATATAATACTGCCTTTCTTCAGGTTTTGACATCAAGATTTTCCTTATAAATGGTTATCCAAGGGTATAAAGTGGGTTGGGAAATGTTCCTTCTTTTTCTCTAGAAAAGTTTGCATAATATTGATGTTGGTTTTTAAAGAGAAAAGGTTTACTTGGCTCACGGTTCCACAGGCTGTTCAGGAAGCATGGCAGCATCTGCTTCTGGGGAGGCCTCAGGGAGCTTTTACTCCAGGCCTCTTATATGGCAGGAGCAGGATTGTATTAGTCCATTCTCATATGATTGTGAAGAAATACCTGAATTAAAAAAATAAAAAAGAAATACCTGAGACTGGGTAAATTTATAAAGAAAAGAGGTTTAATTGGCTCATGGTTCTGCAGGCAGAACAAGAAGTACAGCAGCTTCTGCTTCTGAGGAGGCCTCAGGAAACTTACAATCATGGTGGAAGGTGAAGGAGAAGCAGGCAGGTCTTAATGGCCGGAGCAGGAGCAAGAGAGTTGGGAGGCAACCATTTCTCATGAGAACTGACTATTGCCAAGTTAAATCATGAGAAACCACCCCTATAATCCAATCACCTCCCACCAGACCCCACCTCCAACAATGGAGATCACCATTTGACATGAAATTTGGCCAGGGACACAGATGCAAACCATATCAGTCGCCCAGACTGCTCTTGAACTCCTGGCCTCAAGTGATTCTCCCACCTCAGCCTCTTGAATAGCTGGGACTATAAGTGTGTGCCACCATCCCCAGCTAATTTTTAAAATTTTCTTTTAGAGACATAGTCTCAGTATGATGATTTTATTTGAACCGCTGTTTAATTACAGATCTACTTCTTCAATAGATACAGGACTGTTTAGGTTTTCCATTTGCACTTGTTTCAGTTTTGGTCAGCTGTGTTTTTCTAGGAAGACGAAAGATCTGTTCAAGGTCATACATCTTATAATATGAGTAAACTTTCCAATCTTTAGCTTTTTCAAATGATGTCATACCAATATAATATGTACGTTTAAATTTGTAAACTTTTTCATCTTCTCTACTAGAGTATCAACTAGTGGGCAGATTCTATGTTTACTAAAACTTTCTATCATCTGAGTCTTAAGGGCTATAGGTATTTGAATTAAATTAAAGCATGCTTGGAGCCAGGCATGGTGGCTCATGTCTGTAACCCAGCACTTTGGGATGCCGAGGTGGGTGGTCACTTGAGGTCAGGAGTTTGAGACTAGCCTGGCCATCTTGGCGAAACGCAATCTCTACTAAAAATACAAAAATTAGCTAGGCATGGTGGTGTGCGCCTGTGATCCCAGCAACTCTGGAGGCTGTGTTTGAACCCGGGAGGTGGAGGTTGCGTGAGCCAACATCACACAACTGCACTCTAGCCTGGGCAACAGAGTGAGTCAAAATAAATAAATAAATAAATAAAATAAATACCTTGATTTAAGTAGTTGCTTCCATAGTTCACTTGGGCTTTGTCAGTCAATAACATATACATTTTACTTCTGTAGTAATAGGTTATTAATGAGGGAAAAATATGTTAGGGTATGTATTAAATAAAAAGGTGGGAATAGTGAATTGAAAGTATAGTTCTTTAAATTATTTACTCATTTTAAAATTTATTTTTAGAGATGGGGTCTTGCTCTGTTGCTGAGGCTGGAGTGCAGTGGCACAATCATAACTCACTGCAGTCAGGCTCACTCCCCAGCTCAGACCTTCCTCCTGCCTCAGCTTCCTGAGTAGCTAGGACTGCAGGCACATGCCACCACACCTGGCTGATATTTAAAATTTTCTTTGAGACAGAGTGTCACTATGTTGCCCAGGCTCCTCTTGAATTCCTGGCTTCAAGTTATCCTCCCACTTCAGTCTCCCGAACAGCTAGGATTACAAGCATGAGCTATCTTGCCTGGCTCTGATTCTTAAACGTTGGGAGTTCCATTTATATTGTACTTATTTTTCTCAATTACAGTTAATTTTGTTTTTATTTCCTGAAACCTAGTAGAATATGTATTTGCTTATAATTCAAGGGCATTTGAAAGAAAGAAAAATAACTCAAGGCCAGGCATAGTAGCTCACACCTGTAATCCCAGCACTTTAGGAGGCTGAAGCAGGAGGATCGCTTGAGCCCAGGAGCTCAAGACCAGCATGGGCAACATAGTGAGACTCTGACTCTACAAAACACCAAAAAAAAAAAAAAAAAAAAAAAAAATTAACCAGAAATGGTGGCACATGCCTAGCTACAGTGGGAGAATTGCTTGAGCCCAGGAGGTCAAGGCTGCAGTAAGCGGTGATTTTACCTCTGCACTACAGCCTTGGCAAAACAGTAAGACCCTGTCTCAAGAAAAAAAAAAAAAAAGGAAAAGAAAAATAACACTTTCAGCATATGATTTAGCAAAACCATTTTGATTTTTCTTTAAGAGAGATTGTAACTTGAATCATTCTAGCAGGGAGAATTTAATGAATATTTAACATTTCAATGCAATAAAATATGTCCATATTGTTATACAAGACTTAATGTAAGATTCACATGTTTGGGAAGAATGTGGGTTTGAATGGTGAGGGTTCAGTTGAAGATCTATTTCTATAAAGTACATAATTTGTTGCCAAAGAAAATATTACCTAGCAGTGGGTTACATGTGCCAAGAGAGGCCAGAGAAGTCTTACAGTAGAAATTGTACAGAGGAACTGTCAAACTAGATCCCTGATGATGTCAGATGGGAAATAAAGCTCTTGATGCTAAAATATTTTACTAGATGACTAGGGCATTGGAAATGAATCTTCCAATGCTTGTGTTTTTCATCTTGCTTTTATTTGAAGACAATCAGAATGATTTACACTTACAAATTTAAACTGTTTAAGGTATTTAGTCCGAAATTTAAGAAACTTTCCAAGATCATATTGGCTAAATATTGACTTAACTATATCTTTGTCTTAAAAAGTGTTTATCCTCTGAGATTAAGATTTGGAAACTTAAAAGGAGAGAGGCTTTAGGTTCTTGGAGATAAAATATAGTAATGTAAAGAATTTCCTTCTCTATGCCAAAAGTGGAAATGTAGAAAATATGTATAAGTAATTGTGCCAAAGTATTTATCTGTGGTTCTCTTTATTCTTAAAATACATTGCCTGTTTCTGCTATACACATTCAGATACATTGTACAGAATTACAGAGATTTGAACCTGAAGGACTTTAAAGAACATTCAAATTTCTTTATTTTGTGGGGAAGGGAAATGAGACATGTAACAGTAAACTGATAAGAACAAATATTACACTTGATCTTAGCCAAAAGGCCAAGAAGCGATAGGTAATATAAAAATACAAATAGTTTTCCCAGTGTCATGAAGGGAATAGGAGCAGACTTAGGTCTTGGAGAAATAGAACATTTTCTAATTTACTGTTGTAGTAGTGAGTTATTTGAATTTTTATTTTTTATTTTAGAGACATTGTCTCACTGTATCACCCAGGCTGGAATGCAGTGGTAGCAATCTTCCTGCCTCAGCCTCCTGAGTAGCTGGGACTACAGGGACATGTCACCATGCCCAGCTAATTCTTTAGTTTTTTGTAAAGATGGGGGCTCACTATGTTGCCCAGGTTGGAGTTGAATTTTTAGAGGTATGTGATGGCTTTGTTTTTGTTGTTGTTTTTAAATTTTTATTATTTATTTAAAAAATAAAGATGGGGTTTCACCATGATGGCCAGGCTGGTCTTGGACTCCTGATCTCAGGTGATCCACCCACCTCGGCCTCCCAAAGTGCTAGGATTACAGGCATGAGCCACCACGCCTGGCTGTCTTTGGGTTTTTTTTTTTTTTTTTTTTTAATCACCAGATGATTTATGAAAGTTGATGGATCAGTTGGCTGTCAGCAAAAGTGAAAAACTGTCAAGCCCCTTTGAAGACTGTTACTATTAAGGAAACAAAACAGTGTTGACACCAATGTTTTTTTTTGAAACAGGATCTTACTCTGTCACACAGACTGAAGGGCAATGGTGTGATCTCGGCTCACTGCAGCCTCTACCTCACAGGTTTAAGTAATTCTCTTGCCTCAGCCTCCTGAACAGTTGGGATTGCAGGTGCCCACTGCCACACCTGGCTTATTTTGTGTTTTTAGTAGAGACATGGTTTCACCATGTTGGCCACACTGGTCTTGAACTCCTGACCTCAAGTGATCTGCCTGCCTTGGCCTTCCAAAGTGCTGGGATTACAGGTGTGAGCCACCACACCCAGCCTAGGCTAGATTTTTGAGGGAGAGGCCATCTTTTTTTTTGTTTTTCTTTTTCTTTTTTTGCCACAGGGTCTCACTCACCCAGGCTGGAGAGCAGTGGCACAGTCTTGGCTCACTGCAGCCACTGCCTTCTGGGCTCAAGCTATTCTCCCACCTCAGCCTCCCGAGTAGCTGGGACCACAGGCACCTGCCAGCACGTCCAGCTAAATTTTTTTGTTTTTGTAGAGATGAGGTTTTGCTATGTTGCCCAGGCTGGTCTTGAACTCCTGAGCTCAAATGATCCTACCCGCCTCAGCCTCCTAAAGTGCTGGAATTACAGGTGTGAGCCACCATGACTGGCCTTAACTTTTTGACTTAAGTTTGAAGATGGTTATTGGTTTGAAATATATATAGTGCTTATAAGAGTTTTCACTTAGGTAGTTTAAAACAATGATTATAAGATTAGAATGTGGCAAAATAAAATTTTGTCCCTTTAATACAAATTCATTGTCAAGTCATTCACTAAATAATGATTGGGTAAAGAACTATTTTGGTCACAAATATCCTACCTCATTATTATGCTTAGAAATATACTCTCTCTTTTGGGAAACAACATGATTTACTTTAAAAAAAGTATTTCATGGTTTTGCCTGATTAGGTGAGGTCAATATTTTGCCTTACTGTAGATATTTGCTATTTTTGGTGAACATTTCTTTTTAAAAATGGTTGAGCTATGACCCAGGTTTTTGAAATTGTACCAACACATTACCAGTGTAGCTTTATACAAATATGTCCCCACATTTGTCAGTTTGCACTTATTGCTAGTCTGTACCATATTTAATGTGATAGTGGAGGTCAGAGGTATACTTATATAATTATGCACTTTTCAGTTTCCTTTAATCATTAGTAAAAGTGATCAACGTAGTTTTATATGATTTGACCCAGGAGTTTATGTCATTTGAAGTAATGCTAAAGCCCTCCTAACTTTGCAAAGATGCATTCTCAAGTTGTTAATTTGGGAAGTTATTTTACTTGCAGCCAATTAGATAAATGTTTCTGTCAACTCCATCCAGTGACTTCTTCAAGAAAAAAAGCTTAAAGTGATTCTAGCTTTCTGTTGTAACAGTGCAAAGAGTTTTTCTTCTTTCCTTTTTTTTTTTTTTTTTTTTTTGAGGCAGGGTCTTGTTCTGTCACCCGGGCTAGAATGCAGTGGCATGATTACATTTTACTGTAGCTTCAACCTCCCAGATTCAAGCAATCCTCCTGTATCAGCCTCCCGAGTAGCTGGGACCACAGACGTACACCACCATGCTTAGCCAATTTTTGTATTTTTAGTAGAGATTGGGTTTCACCGTGTTGTTCAGTTGGTGTTGAACTCACTCCTGGGCTGAAGTGATCCGCACACCTGGAATCCCAAGGTTTTGAGAGGCTGCCCACCTTGGCCTCCCAAAGCCTTGGGATTCCAGGTGTGAGCCACTGCACTAGTCCTTTTTTTTTTTTTTTTTTTTTTTTAAAAGTAAAATACAGCTGGGCGCGGTGGCTCACGCCTGTAATCCTAGCACTTTGGGAGGCTGAGGTGGGTGGATCACCTGAGGTCAGGAGTTCAAGACCAGCCTGGCCATCATGGAGAAACCCCGTCTTTAAAAAAAAAAGTAAAACACATTGTCAGAAATCGCTTCATTTTGCATCATTTGTGCAATATTAGTTTTGTTTGTTTTTTCCTTAATGTCTTGAGATCCAGGAAAGATGATCTGAAACACAGAATTAGAAACACAGAATTAGACTAAAATCTTTTAGGGAGATTGTGAAGTATTTAGATTTAAAGTCTAGAGTTAATAAGTAATGGCAAAGATGTAACTACAAACTTCACAGTGTCAATGACTTAGGATGCATTCATGACTCTTCTCCATTAAGATTTCAAATTAACTTTTAAAAACTAGGTACCTCCATGAAACATGTATGCATCTTACTGGACACTCCTTTGTCATTTTCCCACTTCTGCCAGATGGGTTTTAATATAATAGGAAGAATTGTTATGATGTCAGCTCCATTGTAGTTTGAACTGGAATGATTCTGTTTTCTTGTCAACTTGAAGAGTCCAGCTGAATCACTTTCTAGTGATTGCCTTTGTTTTTTTATTAAGTGTTCATTTCTACTTGTAATAATCCTGTTAGGATGCACGTTAACCAACTATATGTGAAGGCCTGGCTATATGGAGCATAAAATTAGATATGCTTCTTTCCTTTGGCTCACAGTCTAAATTTAGTAGGCGACAGTTTCCTTTCCTAGATGTCATTAAAAATAGAAGATACCCATCTGTCTGGAATGGGTTAGATACACTTCTGCCTACAGGCTGAGAGATGAATTATATAACACTAACTTCCTTTTAGCCCCAAGTTTCTTAGAAAAATAATGTTTCTCTTTTAATAAAGAGGCCAAGAGTATATAGTTTGAATGTTAACCTTAAATTATCCCATAAGTTTGTGAAACTCTGGAAGACCTAAGAAAATTGAATTTTGAGGAGAAATCACAAAGATAAGGTGAAACAGTATCACTTAAGAAATTGGCTTTGAAGTAAACTCTTTTTCCAGTCCTAGATTTACAGTTTACTAGCTGTGTAAGAAAGTTGTTTAACTTCTCTGAGATTGTAACTTCATTAATGTAGTTGGAATAGTAAGGACTGCTTGTTGAGGAGCAAATTAAATGAGTGAATATTTATAAAGTACTTTTTTGGGTACTTGGGATGTAAAAGACATTTCTAGTAGTGGTTATTGTTGATGTTAATATTATATCTGGTTCTTTTATTAAAAATCTGCCATCTTGCTGTTAAAAATCTTAATTTAGAGCTCAGGATATAATATGAGGTCAGAATTAAATAGGGAATTCCTAGGAGTATTTGGAGTCCTGGAAGTCATTTAGAAGAGGACTGAAAATCATCCCCAAAGGACTACCTGTGTTAGAGGATGCAGAAGAAACGAACACAGACTGCGAAAAAGCCATCAATGAGGTGAAAGGAGAACCAAGAGAATAATGTCATGAGATTCAAGAAAGACATTGCTTACTGGGTCAAAAAGTTTCTTCAGAAGTTCATTTAAAAATATTTTCAGCTGGGCGCGGTGGCTCACACCTGTAATCCCAGCACTTTGGGAGGCCAAGGCGGGCAGATCACAAGGTCAAGAGTTCGAGACCATCCTGGCCAACATGGTGAAACCCTGTCTCTACTAAAATACAAAAATTAGCTGGGCATGGTGGTGAGCGCCTGTAGTCTCAGCTACTTGGGAAGGCGAGGCAGGAGAATTGCTTGAACCCAGGAGGTGGAGGTTGCAGTAAGCCGAGATCACGCCACTGCACTCTAGCCTGGTGCCTAGTGACAGAGCCAGACTCTGTCTCAAAAAAAAAAAAATTAAAAAAAAATTTTTTTCAGCACTAGGTGATACCAGGCAGGGAAAGGCTCTGAGGAAACCATTGAATGGGGCAAATAAGAGGTCCTCGTCTTTGAGAGAGTAGAAAAATGGCTGTAGACCTAGACTTGATTAGGCAGAGAAGGAAGCGTGCAGTGAGGAAAAGTAGAGGGCAGGCGCGTAAGATGGAACCTCATGAAAATTTAGTTGTATGGAGAAAGAGAGAGAGATGAGTTAAGGAACAGGAGAAAGGGTTTGGATAGGGCCGGGCCTGGTGCCTCATGCCTGTAATCCCAGCACTTTGGGAGTCCTAGGCGGGTGGATCACCTAAGGTCAGGAGTTAGAGACCAGCCTGGCCAACATGGGGAAACCCCACATCTACTAAAAATATAAGGATTAGCTGGGCGTGGTGGCACACACCTGTAATCCCAGCTACTTGGGAGGCTGAGGCAGGAGAATCGCTTGAACCTGGGAGGCAGAGGTTGCAGTGAGCCGAGATCGCACCACTGCATTCCAGCCTGGGTGACAGAGCGAGACTCCATCTCAGAAAAGAAAAAACAAAAAAACAGTGTTTAGATTTGTTTGTTTCATTTTGCTAAGAGAAGAAATTGGCATGTTTGAAGGCTGAGGGAGAAGTGAAACTTACTGGTCAGGGAGTAGCTGATGGTCAAGTTGTGGTTGGAGGCAAGTGGGACTGGA